AAAAATTAAACTGAAACGCCCACCAGCTCCTTGGATGACTGAAGGTATTCGGATGGCTATGAGGCGCCGGGATCGGGCTTTTCGAAAATTTAGGAGGAATCGGTGTAATGATAACTGGACTAAATTTAAAGTGTCGAGGAACCGGTGCAATCAGATGATACGTAACGCTAAACGACGCCACATTCTAGAAAACATAAATTNCTCTCGAGATCAGGACTATTACTAACCGCTGCACGTTCAAGTTAAGGGTTCGGCGAATGCTGTTGGAAAAGTTAGCGGAATCGTCATGAACTTGATGAAATTATTTGTTAAGGAAATTTATTAATATATTCCTTTTAATACTGTATAAACTATTATATGTATGTATGTTTGTATATAATATGTATGTATGTATGTATGTGTATGTATATGTATATGTGATTTTGTATATATGTAGATATACTTTCTTTGTATGTATTTGTTACCTAATATAAATTTCATTGCACCTACCACTATTTACTCTGCACTACCTTTGGTTGACTGGTAGAGAATGCCTTAGGCATTAAGTCCGCCAATGTAAATTTTACATGAAGTGTAATAAATAAATAAATAAAATAAACTTGTTTCAAATAAAACAAAATAGATATTTAAAAAAATCGAATGGGTACAGGGCCGACTATACTGTACATTGTGTTAATGTGTAATAACTAAATTGTAAGTGTTGTCAGTTATTAAATAAGTAATTTATGTTTATTGCCATCGAAGGCCCAGCTGATCGTAAGTGATTACATCAGAAACTGCTTACCGCTGGGGTTTTTTCATATTTAAGATCAAAAACGTATAAGAATATTATTATTTATTTATAAATTAAATAACCCTAAATTGAATTGTTCATCATCTAAAATGCTCTGACTTTTTTTGTTTTTGTGTGTGTGAATATGATGGTTTCTCGATGATATTTGTTGAGTATTTGGTCAAAAATTCGTTTACAATGATGATGACCTTTTGCGACGGCGCATTATTCTGGTGTAAAATGTAAATTTTCTTTCCACAGATCTGGCCATTTCGGCGAATTTGCTATCTTAAATGCTGTATAAGGCTCAAATAATGTTCCTTATTTACCATTTAACCTTCCAGCAAGAAGTCCGAGTGCATGACACCACAATAGTCAAAGAAAACAACATGATTTTGACTTTTGATTGACTTTGGCGTGGTTTTTTCGGTTTTAATTCACTTTGAAGGCCGAAACTTGTTGACTATTATGCATATCCAACTCGTGATTCTTCTTCTCGTCACTAATAACAATGCGTTTCATGAATGTCGGGTCGGAAATGATACTTTCTAGCAGTCTTCAACGACTCTTATGCGATTAAGTTTTTGGAGAATATTCAGGCCTTTTGGGACTTGTCTAGCGGCATCATGTTTCATACCCAATTATTTCAGATGTTACAGGTAGAGTCGAGAGACACAGAAGGCTCGGTGGCTATCTCGCTCAAACTTGAATGAGGTTTTTAGTCACTATTTCCTTCAGTTTTGGGATATTATAATAACTTCAGTTGCACACCTTGATGGCCTATTCTAGAGCGAGGCAAATCTTTCATCATATCACGATAAAAAGCATTTGAACGCTATGTGTCACTCATAAGCACGTGTTTTTGATAATGTCGATTTACCGTAAGCCTTCTGTAACATTTTGAGTGACTCCGACACGAAATTCCATTGGCGATGCAAAATTTAAGACAGATTCTTTGTTCGATGTTATTATTCACTATGAAATTTACAATATACACTAGATATGATATAACTAAAAACAGCACTGTATTTAAGCTAAATAACAGATGCACCTCGAACTCCGCGTTTTCCTCGTCAGTGGTATTCCATTAACGGTGCTTTTAGGTACCATAAGCACCGGTCACCGTCCTTGTCGAACACGTCGCTTGCGACGAAGAGCTCGACGAGTGAATTAACCCATAGACACAGCCCACAGAGTTTCTCACCGGATCTTCTCAATGGGTCGCGTTTCCGATCCGGTGGTAGATTCTGCGAAGCACTGCTCTTGCTAGGGTCCGTGTTAGCAACACTTCTGGTTTGAGCCGCGTGAGCTCACCTACATGTTAGGGTGAAGCTGAAATAGCCTCTCAAGGGTATCAGCACAGGTAGGAAAAAAAAGAACTCAAAGAAAGAACAACCAAAAAAAAGAGGTTGGAACCATAAACAAATCGTCCATTCCAGATAGTTTTTTGACTGAATTTACTATATCTACGTATAGGCGATAAAATAGATTATGTTAAATAAAAGAAGAAAAGTTTTTTGTGGAGTTCTAATTCGAGCATTCTGAAAGAAATGTACAGTGATCGGTCTGCTTTAGATCAACCATTGTTTACTTTTTATAAAGTTAACTTCAGACAGTCCGATCGAATTAGTAATGACATGAAGTTCGTTTTTTTTGTTTGTTATTTTATTGTTCGATATTTTTCGGAACTAATCGAACTTGGAATTGCAGTACCTATCTACGTTATTTTATTATTTTTCCTTCCTTTTTTATTCATTTATTTTTCTTTTATTTTTTACTTTTTACATTTAATTTACTTATATTTCTTTTTAATTTGTCCTTTTTTATTTTTTATTTACTTTTCAATAAGTAATGGTGTCACTAAATGTTTTCAGTAAGTCATAAAAAGATCATCACAATATGAGATACTTGTTCAAATATGTTTACATTTATCCTATCTTAGTAGGCTAATAATTTTACCAAAATTCTTTGTTTTTTCACACAGTTCGTTTTTTTAAATTAACTATAATACTCAAATTGTATTTAAACGTTTGATTTAATATTTACCGAGTTTTTGTCGGTTTTCATAGTGCTTTTCGAGCTTCGCATTAGGGACGCTCCGCCCCTCGTGGTAATGCCAAGACGCCGAGTCTAGACGACCCTGTACCTACGCCACATTACGATCTGATATAACCGTAATTTCTATAAATACGTGTAATTGACCATTATATCATAGAATACACTTCTCTTTAGTCGTGATGTTTTACGCAAATTACGTAGTGATTACGCAAATTATAATTTTGCGGGTTTGGTTTTTATTACACGATGTTATTCCTTCATCGTGGAAGTCAATCGTGAACACTTGTTGAGATTCCTATTGTTATAACATTATTTGGCTTAATACAATAAGACGGTTGCACTGAATAATTCGATTCTGTTGTCCGAAATACAATTTAAATAGATATTCCGTCAAATTCTGAAAATGTTCCGTTATCACATTCAACAGTTGATTATAATGTACCATAACTGATCAAATTTAGTACCGTACTAAACCAAGAAATGTAATAATTGAAGACCCACCATTAGACTTGGTAATTGCTTACTTGATGGTAATTAGTAACTGTAATACTGTTCTGTGTTGACCAATGTTTACCAAAAGACATAAGTGGGTGTTCATTAGCACACTTACTAGAGATATTTTGACACAAATGTAAAATTTCACATTTAATAATTACGCATTTTTAATTGAGTAGAAAAGCAGCCACTACCATTTGGCGAAAGTCGCTGTGCAATTGTGTTAGAATATCGCATTTTATCCTTTGAAATGGAACTGCTTCAAGACGGGAAAAGGCAGCACTATATAATCGAACCATGTGGGTTTATAACATTGTATTAAAACTGAGAATAAAATTTAAACGGACTATTGAGAATATTTAGATATTTGGATACGATGACAGATAAGCCGCCGATGCTGTTAACAATATGAATACAGTTTAAATCGCTAAATACACTTAGGTACCACCACCCTGCCTATTTCTGCTTGAAGGGTTGGGCAGCCGTTGTAACTATACTGAGACCTTAGAACTTATATCTCAAGTTGGGTGGCGCATTTACGTTGTATATGTCTAGAGGCTCCGGTAGCCACTTAACACCAGGTGGGCTGTGAGCTCGTCTACCCTTCTAAGCAATAAAAAAAAAAATTGCATTCATAAACAGGCGCTTACTTTAAGTACCTATATTTGATTTTCAGAACAACAGTGAGGTATCGTACTCGTTGCCTGTCGTATGAGAGGCTGCTACTAGGCCACAAGAAAGGTTCCAAATTAACTTAAGGGGTATATAGATAGTAATAGTAGTGAACAGGCTGGTTATTTTGAGCAGAATTTCGTGTGCAAAATCTTAATTTTTTTTATATCTCACACCGCAATTGTAAACTTTAGTACCAGACGAACTTTATCTTGACGGAGGTTTAAATGAATACACATTAAAACAAGTTTTATATTGTTGTTTTCACTGCTTAAATGGAGATAAGTACTTAATCCATATTATAATCGGCGCCAAGGTTCAGTTGTTACAGAACTTAATTTTTTCTCAACAACAATTGAACATTTATTTATTAGGTAAACTGTTTTCAAAGGTGTTACGCCTACATTATGATTATGTAGTGGGCTATTTATGAAAGGTTGTTGAAGCATAATTATTTACTTTCCGGCTCTTTAAATACGAAGAAAGTTAAATATCGCTTGATGTATTTGTAATCAGTTCTACAGTTATTACTTCCTTGTCCTTAATACAGCAGTCCTCTCTTTGATATCATTGCTTGTGAAGTTTATTAATGGTTTCATTGAATCTCTTGAAATTTCATATTCACTGGCGATAGGACCTCTTGTAAGTCCGCACGGGTAGGTACTACCACCCTACCTATTTCTGCCGTGGAGCAGTAATGCGTTTCGGTTTGAAGGGTGGGGCAGCCGTTGTAACTATACTGAGATCTTAGAACTCATATCTCAAGGTGGGTGGCGGCATTTACGTTGTCGATGTCTATGGGCTCCGGTAACCACTTAACACCAGGTGAGCTGTGAGCCCGTTCATCCATCTAAGCAATAAATAAAAAAAGACTTCCTTGTCCGTAATACAGCAGTCCTCTCTTTGAAATCATTGCTTGTGAAGTTTATTAATGGTTTCGTTGAATCTCTTGAGAATTCATATTGACGTAAATATGAAATGAAAACTATTGAATTATTTGCAGATGATGCGGAGATTGGTGATGCGATCGACGGCCAGGTGAGAGGGTGGCGGGCGGCATGGATCACGCGGTGAAGGCCATGACGGCGCGCGGACCGCTGGCCAGGCTGGTGACACGCCGCCGCTTTGAATCCGCTGAGCTAGAGGAGCTATACGCGCGCTATGCTTGTAAACTTCAACGCAGCTCGGTCGGATCGGCACTCGCGCTCTGGGCAGTCCTCGCTGCCGCGCTAGCTGCTGTTGAAGCAACTCGAGGTTGGCGGAGAGCCCCACAGGTATCTATCTATACTTATCTATACTAATATATAAATCTGCAGTGTTTTTTACGGATGTTCCGTTATACTACTGAACCATGCATCCGATTGACTTGAAACCTGATACCCATGTAGAAAATACATGTACTTAATGGATATACTAATTTATATGAGTGTTGGACTCACTAATAATAATAATGACAATAAATAATAATGTTAATTTTAAATGCCCAGCGAAGCGGGCGAGTACGGCTAGTATATTAATACGTTAAGCAAAAACTTTGTAGCCCTTTTTACGAAAATTGCGCAGACGGAGCAGTATGAAATTTCCCACACTTATAGAGATCTAAGATCATCTAAGCAATAAAAAAAAAAGAACTGCAAAATGCTCATTTTTTTTTAAATTATGGATAAAAAATACAATAAATCAATAGAAAAACATTACACACATTATCATGTATTTGACGCACACACGCATGCATACTGTTTGTTTTTTGTCAAACTTTTCTTATTGCTTATAGTCTGTGGTCAAATTGAGAATAGTTTAAATATTGTTTGTCTTTATTAATATTTGCCTAAAGCTTAGTCTTGGCGAAATCTGTGATTATAGAATTTGACAATAGACTCATAATAATGTTCAAACTTATAAGTTCAATTAATTATAGTCGAATTTCGACTACTGCGAGACCACCAGTCTATACTAATATATAAATTTACAGTGGTTTTTACGGATGTTCCGTTATAACTACTCAACCATGCATCCGATTGACTTGAAACCTGGTATCCATGTAGAAAATACATGTATATAATGGATAGGTTTATATAATATTTATATGAGTGTTGGACTCCCTACACCAGTTGCGGGGGCATTAATGACGAGAATCTTTGTGGGGGTGAGAAATAATAATGTTAATTTTAAATGCCCAGCGAAGCGGACGGGTACAACTATAGTATTCTGTAATCGTACAAATTTAAATAATAATAGCTCCTGTGATCTTGTAACGAGCTTATAATGTCGAATTCAGACGAATATAAGATCCTCCTGGTGGTAAATAATTAGCGTCGTTCATGAACTTTATCTTTTTTTTATTGCCCTATAGGCAGACGAGTTTACGGCCTACCTGATGGTGAGTGGTTACCGTCGCTCATGGACGTCAGCAATGCCAGGAGCAGAGCCAAGTCGTTGCTTACTGTTTAATACTCTCCACAAGCCTCGTTTGAAGAAGGCCATGTCATAGCGCTCGGGAAACACCGTGGAGGGGAGCTCGTTCCAAAGCTGACTGGTAGGTACGTGGCAAAAACGATCTGTGGAAACGCACTGTGGATGGCTCCCGGTAGTATGGATGAAATCTACTCCGATGGCGGGCGGTGCGATGGTAAAAACGAGATGATAATATCATCTCAAACAATTCTTCAGAACATTCCATAAGAATAGGAGGCAGCCAAGCAACTGCCTTAGAACAATGACCATTTTAAACTTCATTTAAAGAAGACAGTAGTGAACTTTTCTTTAATGGCAGTTGATAATAAGCAGATGATGGGAACGTTTCTGACTATTTCTCACAACAACCTCCAAAACCTTTGAAAACATAAGCCAATGCCGACGTTTATGTTGAGACTTGTTTAAATATCTAGTTAGTACAGACGAATAACGTCTATGCAGCCTTAAAATCAAAACATACTGGTGGTAGGACCTATTGTGAATCCGCACGGGTAGGTACTACCACCCTGTCTATTTCTGCAGTGAATCAGTAATATGTTTCGGTTTGACTGGTGAGGTAGCCGTTGTAACTATACTGAGACCTTGGAACCTATATCTTAAGGTGGGTGACGCATTTACGTTGTAGATGTCTATGGGCTCCAGTAACCACTTGGGTTGGTTAACCACACACCACAAACACCAGGTGGGCTGTGAGCTCGTCCATACATCTAAGCAAAAAAAAACCCAGCAGAAATCGCACGATCTTGTCATGTCATAGAAAGTTATCTTGTAAACGAAAATATTTTACCATTAAATAACCGAATAACGTACGGCAACCAATAGTTTTTTTTTCTTAGCACCGAAAGTAGCAATTTCCTATAAATATGAGACTCCGTCTATCTACCTATAGTATAGTAAAACTCATAAGGAGTGCCAGAGATTTGTTTACCTGTGAGCGAGCGTATCAGCCGGAAACCTAATCTTTAAAACGGAATGAAATTTACGTTTTTACGTAATGGTTTCGTGAAAATGAGTTTGTTTTATATCAATAGCTCGTAAATAGCTACCCTAAATATTTGGAACAAACTATTAAAGGCATTAAAAAACATTAATGCAATAAAATCAAAGAAATTACTAAAATGGTGATTTGGTGCTTTTAGGTACCACAAGCACCGGTCACCGTCCACGTCGAACCCGTCGCTCGCGACGAAGGTCTCGACGATCGAATTAACTCACAGACGCAGCCCAATAAGTTTCTCGCCGGATCTTCTCAGTGGGTCGCGTTTCCGATCTGGTGGTAGATTCTGCGAAGCACTGCTCTTACTAGGGCCAGTATTAGCAACACTCCTGTTTGAGCCCCGTAAGCTAACCTACATGTTAGGGCGAAGCTGAAATAACCTCTTAAGGCTATCAGCATAGGTAGGAGAAAAAAAAGGTAATAAATGGAATGTATGTTGTTTTTAGGTTGGCGTATTGAGTATTCACGCTGTGCTGTGCAGCGGGTTGGCGTGGTGGTGCGGCCGGACTGATGGTGTGGCACCAGAGAGACGGTTGCCGCGGGCATGCTGGCTGGCCCTGGCTGGCGGGGGTGCGGTACTAGCTGCCACGCTGCCCGCCTGGAGCCCGGGTGCCGCAGCCGAGGGCGCTGTGCATGTCGTCTGGGCTGTCTTCGCTGCCTATGCTCTGCTGCCNCACGCTGTGCTGTGCAGCGGGTTGGCGTGGTGGTGCGGCCGGACTGATGGTGTGGCACCAGAGAGACGGTTGCCGCGGGCATGCTGGCTGGCCCTGGCTGGCGGGGGTGCGGTACTAGCTGCCACGCTGCCCGCCTGGAGCCCGGGTGCCGCAGCCGAGGGCGCTGTGCATGTCGTCTGGGCTGTCTTCGCTGCCTATGCTCTGCTGCCTGTTGGCGCTCCTGTCGCTGCCGCCTTTGGCATTGTCTTACCAACAGTCCATACCATCGCCGCTGCGCTTGTTGCTCATCGCTTTCCTTATCACGTCTGGCAGCAGGTCAGTTCCCCAAGTGAAATCTCTATTTGAATTTTTTTTTGATTGATGGATGTTTATAATCGACTCGCTTCGTTTTTTTTTTAACTTCATTTTATTGCCCTTAGGTTAATCATCTTAATCAAACCGGAACGAATGACTGCTTCGCGATAAAAATAGGCGAGATTGTGGCACCCACCAGTGTGTACTCACAATACTTCCTATCAACAGTAAAAATAACGTTCCACCGATATGGCTTGCATTCGTCAAAGAGTTATAAATCTATTTTGAAAAACCCCAAGTGTTAACGATGCGAGTATGAGAACGAATGTACCTTCATTTGCTTTTTTATGTTTTTGCCTGACCGCCACCGAGTGCTATGTTACGTAGACTAAACTAGTCATAAAACAATTTTTGTTTTTAGCTTTATATCAAATGCGGCTATCGACTATATCAATGTCTATTATGTATATTCTTTTACGTTACTTAAATATTTTTACATTTAAGTGAAATAAGAGATCCAAGTGTTTTTTCTTTACATTCGATATTTAAAAAGTAAGCCGTCGATGTAAAAGTCATTATAATGCATGCGATTCATAGGTTATAGTGGATTACTTCGTGGAGGTCGCAGCCTTGCCCTCTTGGCACCCACCTCGGGGCCAGACCACCCCACTCAAGGGTTCGGAGTTCGCGTGAGCTGATTACGTCATCGCATCGGTCTAAACAAACCAGGCACGTCCCTGGATGTGTCATCGTATATTCGTTACATTACATAATGTATTGTGAAATATGCTAATTCTGTTTACGGGTTTATGGTCGTCATAACTTCGGAGGATATTCGTTTTGATATGCATTCAAATAATAAATACGATTGTACCATATTTCATTTAATATGAGTTGAACTTTTGAAATTAATATTGTTTTTAATCTTTTTTGGTTGAATTAGTTGGCTGCCCAAGGCCCTGCTCTTTGTGGCGAACCTGTGCGAAGCCTATATCCATCAGAGGACGTCTGTAGGCTGATGATGATGATACTATTGATTGCATTTATTAATATATCTTTAACTGAAGCAGATATTTTTGTTTTTGCTTACTACTTTTTTTTTATGATTGAAAGATTACTGGTGGCCCGGAGGCCTTTCCAGCTTCACCAGGACAGGTGGGTGAGCAAAGGCTCAGCCTGCTTACCACTGTGGTACCGAGTTCATTCATCCAAATTTAGAATGTAGATAGATGCCTTCAACTACTTCAATTGTCAAACATTCATCAAAAAGACATTTGAAACACAAAAGTCGACACGAATCCGCGTTAATGCGCAACACAATGAATCGACCTTGAAGCCAACTTGCTAGTCATAATCATATCCGCCGTAGATCAAAAAGAACAAAACTAATCTGTTGAAGATAGTTCTAAAACTGATTTTATTGATAGGATCTTTGCGATAAACAAGTTTTCTATTCTGTTGCTAATTAAGGAACAACTACTGCTATGACAGCGGTATTACCACTTCATTACGTCTTACCTTATTTTCTCACCTAACATCGTTCACTACAGTAGGAGAGAGATAAAAACGAGGAGTACCTAATTTCTACATTGAACATTTCCTCGTAGGTATTGTCTAGGTAGGGCTCGCATCGGCTTACTGTTTTATTTTTGATGTGAAAACGTCATTCGTTGCGTTCTATAGGGCCTGGAAGTTGACACCGAAATTTCAGATTCGGATCAAGATGGACGATGTTACTAACATGGTGACGTCATTCCTCCTCGCGTTAACCTAAAACGACCGTCATAAATATCAGTGTCTTAATATCATCAAATATTTAATATTAATTTGTTTTATCGTATGGAAGCTGGAAATATAAAACATAGTTTTATATTTGAATACAATATAATCGTAAATCAAAATACATATATTTTATTTTTAATAGCTAAACTTGAAAGAGCATTAAGTGATTACAATCTGAACCAGTATCGAGTATGACTAGAAATTAAGTCATGTTAGTACTTGATTTAGACGAATGGTAGTGTCAGAAAGAAGCAATTTATTTACCGTCCTTATTATTCAGCCGTATACGTAGAATTAATGGTGTTTCGTTTTATTATGAAACAGACAAATTAGTTACGCCATCCATCAGCGGGATTGGAGCAAATTTATAGCAAATTTATTACGATTTTTATTTTAATTATATTTATTTGTCGGCCTAATTAAAGTGAAAAGTTTAGCACCGTTGCGATTTGAAACTCGAGTAATTGTACAGAGATTGATAGAAATCGGTGAAACGAAAATGACACTTAAAAGAGACAAACACATACCAACGACTTTATATATAATTTTAAACTTTAATATTTAATTTCTTGATTCTTCATTTAAAAGTGAAGAACGTTCTAAAATAAATTTTCAAAACGTACTTCAAATTCTTGTGGTTTTTTATACGTGGATATTGAATTTCAAACAGAAGCAGGAATATGCTTCATATTTAAAAAATGACGGACTTTTAGCAGACTATAGAGAAAACCAAGCTATAGAGTTCGAGGTATACAAAAACCGTACATAAAATACAATAACGTTAATTGTCCATTATAATAGTTTAAAAACATGGGAATTGATTAAAAAATATTTGACATTTAATGAGTTTATTCTGCAGCTTCGAGAATAATCAAACAACAGCACAGTTGATTTTGAAATAGTAATTGCAATTTATGTCGCTATCGTCAGCGTCACCTAGGCGTCCTCGGGGTATTGACAATTACTTTGTCTTAATTAAAGTGAGTACATATTAACGTATCTCCACTTAACAGATTGCCGATGACATAATATTGTATATGACATTACGTTATTTAAAACAAATTTCATAAAAATATTATAAAAAACGTTAAAAAATATCAATTGTATAACTGTGTTCAATTAAAGCATTTACTACTTGCTTATTATTTACTGGTGTTAAGACCTTTTGTTAGTCTGCACGGGTAGGTACCATCACCTTGCCTATTTCTGCCGTGAAGCAGTAATGCGTTTCGTTTTGAAGGGTGGGGCAGCCGTTGTAACTATACCTGAGACCTTAGAACTTATCTCAAGGTGGGTGGCGCATTTACGTCGTAGATGTCTATGGGCTCCAGTAACCACTTAAGACCTAGGCTGTGAGCTCGTCCACCCATCTAAGCAATTAAAAAACATCCTGTATAATCTTAAATTATTATAAAACCTCCAGTATTGTCTTAATGTCAACTAAAACTGAACTGATTCACTGAATGATTACAAAATTCGCGTTACACCAAACAACAGTACGAGAGTATTGTTTTTTACAAATACAATTTTAGTAAAATAAATTGAATTTAAAATTAAAACTTCAATATAAATCTGATTGCGTTACATTATATTTGATTACTGTATTTATGATGTAACAGGCATGTGTATATCGTAAGTTAAAAATATTTGCTAAATCAGTTCTACCGTTGATACTCAACAAAAGAATTAGGTAGAGGTAGAAAGGTAGGAGAAGTTTGTCAACTCCTCCACCTTCTATAAAAGGAGATGAGGAAGTTTCCAATGCGATCTAAAAATGAGGTACCATCGCATACTTGTGCCGTCTAATGCAAGAGAGACATGTATCAGGTGGGAGAACCTCTGATTTGACTTCAATTTCGCTTGCTTGTTGTATAATAACTACTAAAAATTAAAAGCTAAATTAAAAATTAACCTTAAGTCAACCCAAAGACTGACTCGGTGGTGCAGTAGTTAGCGCGTCTGACTGTTGCGCCGAGGGTCGTGGGTTCGATTCCGACTATGGGAAAATATTCCTGTGATGAACAAACATGTTTGTTTGCTCTTTGTCTGAGTGCTTGTTATCTAGATATGTATATATTTAAACGTATGTAACATAAAAGTCTATCTCTGAGACCCACAACACAGGGAATTCTAATTTGGGACCTGGTCACCGTGCGTGATTTGTTCCCAATTATTATAAATTATTAGTTAGTAAATAAATAATAATAAAAATCCTTTTATTTCCTGCTAAAATACAAAGTAAATAAAGTAATAAATAGGTAAGCATTTAATGTTTATGTACCTTCACTAACGTTTGGCAGGAACTCATTAAATATGGTGAAGGTCTCCTCCAAGTCCTTCCATTTGGTCCTATTTTTGGCTACCTGTATCCACCGAGGGCCAGCAATAGCTTTTATATCGTCCTCCCATTTTGATATTGGGCGACCCTTTTTTCTTTTCCCTTGTGGCCCTTCCCATGTAGTTATTCTTGCAATCCATCTCTGGTCCTTATATCTTGCTACATGATCAGCCAATTTCCACTTCAAGTTTCTGGCATACTCAAGAGCATCTATAGATTTTGTTTTTGCTCTAATTTTTGTGTGTTTGATTTAATGATTTTTTCTTAAGAACTATCTCATGAAAAAAATAGTAGTTATTATTATTAAAATAAGTCCATTCTACCAAGAATATGAACAGTCCGTTGGTGATTATCATCCCTCTTTCGTGACAGGGCGGCGCTTCGGGGGAAGAAAAAACATATGCCTGAAACATGTCCGCGGCAGCGAGCTCACAAGCATTTCCATAATAATTATATGTAAATGTATAATGTATTGAATAACAATATTGTACGAGAACATGTGTGAAATTTATTCGGTAGGAACCCTGCCGCATTTCGTTGATGACTAGCTAAACTGCTTATGAAAAATATTAGCTTGTTGCTAATATTCGTATGCCATATATTTTTTTTGTACGGTGCGATGTATTCGTGGTCTAACGGCGTAATGCCAGTGTAAAAATACGTGACAGGCATCAATTTTTCTAAAGAAATGCTTAACCTAAAACTGCATTCACATATTAGATGAGGCGGTTAAATACTGCTGCTAGGGATTATTGTCACTCCGTAGGTTAGAACCATCCTGCGTGTTTTTGCTGTCGTTGCTAGAGTAGGAGAGCCGGCGTTATTTAATCTTTTTAAATTTCATGTTACATAATAAAATAAAACCATTCTCATCATTGTTATTAAAACATATTTCATGACATAATAATTTGAAAAATAAAACGGATATTTAAAAATGTTTTATTATTTTAATAGTATTATTCTACAGAATCATATCTAACAATTAATGAGTAGATTTTACATCAACTCACCGTATTTTGTGGGTGCTCAAAGTTAAATGATTTATTATGAAAGTTATTAATAATTCATCAAATCTCGAACATCTTTTATACAAAATAAACGCGCGCCAATTTTGATAGATATCGTAACCTCGCGAGTTTAGAACAGAAATCGGGCTTTGAAATATGAACTGTCATAATATGTTCTCTATCGTCAAGTACATCAGAAAGTGCTCGCGTTAGTACCACATGTTAATAAACACGTCTTGTCTTGTAACTTGTTGTCGTCCATTTACAATTTCACGTTGTAATGTGAGAGTACATAACAACACGTGTATATAATGAAACATAACAACACATCGATCTCACATTTCTCGAACTTGTGAAATCCACGAATCTGTATTGTAACATCAAACACATTCAGAAGCAGGTTTCAATTCTCCAAAAATCTTAGAAACAAGACTTACTCTCTTATCGATGATGAAAATGAGCTCAACTCTAAATGAACTTTGAAAATCATTGATCTTAACAACGTGTCAGACAAAGCGTTGAATACTTTAAAAAGGAGTTTTTATCTTTTGCATGAGGCTCTTTTAAATTTTGACACCTGCTTTGTAGTTTTAGTATGTTTTTTTGTTGAATCTGTTGATGAGTCAAACGGTGAGGCGGACGGTGACAGGCCACATTAGCATAAAGCCGTGAAGTGCACAGCTCAGTGTGTCGCATAATATACCTATAAATAAATTAAATACTCACTTGCAGAGGCATACAGATCACTGACTCGAATCTATAAAAGGTGTATCATCATCCTTCTACGGTAGAAAACTTGCCGTTCTGATTAATTTTGCAGGACAAAGCTCTGAAATGTACGGTGTTATAACTTTTAGCACGACGGCTTGGGTTTATTAAAAAAAAAAAAAGAAACCAATCTTAAAACTGCACGCTCTTGTTGATTTTTGAACAGACTGCAAATAAAGAAGGAGGTTCTAAATTCGACTGTATTTTTTTACGTGTGTTAGTTTATATCAAAACTTTTTTCTATTTGAACCGATTTTCGAAGTTTTTTTTTTTTTTATCCAATCTTGTATTATGTAAATAGACACTCCGGGAGTTGTTTTATCTACTATAGCTCTATTTTTTTAGTGTTGTAGATAGGATATCGCAGGCCACCAGGTTTTAATTCGTCACTGGAGACGAAAGATATTACAAATTGAACGGCGCCATCCACCTCTTGACTCGAGCTCGAAGTCTACATTGTATTTTGTAACGAATGGCCCATCTTTCAAACCGGATTACATGTCTTGTTCGCGGCAGAAATAGGCACAATAACTGCACCTACTCGTGTAAGCTTACATAACGTTCTTCTTCCAGTAACTACGCATTCATTTCCTATATAAGATTGATATCGAATAGATAACTAAATGTTTCTATAAGGTTGTACGGTAAATCGTAATAATCATGACACAAAAATCAGATGCGTGTATTAACTTGGCTGTCTTTGGTCTAGCCATTGATTGAGAATGATATTAAGTAGGTATTTGTTGGTGAAACTACTGTCATTTCTACATTGATGCTGACGAAAGTGATTCTGTGTACGAATTAGAAGCTCGCACTTTATACACAAGTTGTTCAACGTTTAATTGCATTTTGAAAAGTTTAAAGCATCTAAATTCATGAATTTCATCCATTATCGTCGTTTTGTTTGACAGCCTAATTAGTATCGGACGGTCTGTTTGGAATTTAATAGTCGCGGAACACTGGTTCGAATCCTATTTCAGGAACACATTTCTGCGTTGTTTCTGTATTTGTTTCTGACGTAAGAACGTATCGCCACGTACTAATAAATTACAAATAAAACTGGAATCAAAATATACACGTGGCTCGTGTTGTTGACAGATGCTGGGCAATGTGGTCGTGTTCGTTTGTGTGAATGTGGTTGGAGCTTTGATGCACTCGCTGATGGAAACCGCCCAGCGCAGAGCCTTCCTAGACACCAGGAACTGCATCGCGGCGAGACTCGACATGGAAGACGAAAACGAGAAATTGGTATGAAGATGATTTAACAANCTGGAATCAAAATATACACGTGGCTCGTGTTGTTGACAGATGCTGGGCAATGTGGTCGTGTTCGTTTGTGTGAATGTGGTTGGAGCTTTGATGCACTCGCTGATGGAAACCGCCCAGCGCAGAGCCTTCCTAGACACCAGGAACTGCATCGCGGCGAGACTCGACATGGAAGACGAAAACGAGAAATTGGTATGAAGATGATTTAACTATTTATTACTTACTAGCTGACCCGGCAGACTTCGTAGTGCTTCAATCGATAAATAAAAGATCTAAACTTTTGTATGAAATAAACTTAAAACAAACAAAAGGAATCCGTCTGGCGGGGGACACATCAAAGAAAAAACAAAATTATTATTATTATTTAATTCCAAGCATTTAAATATTTATTTACCTTTTAAACCTTCTCTGGACTTCCACAAATAATTTAAGATCAAAATTAGCCAAATCGCTCCAGTCGTTCTCGAATTTTAGCGAGACTAACGAACAGCAATTCATTTTTATATATATAGATAGATTACTATTATTCTATTTATTTATTCACAATTGTAATAAGAACAGTTAGTAGGTAGTCGGTCAGTGGATCATCGGTGAAACTACTGAGTTTCACGGCTACGGCGCGGCGTCGCAGTTATCTCCTAAAAGTATTAACAATGTTAATGTGCTGTTGACAGACTAGTCCTCGTCGACTAACAGAAAACCTCACGACCCATCTAGTTGTAATAAGCGCTCGGAAGGAGACTTCCGGTTCAGTAAAGTTTTTCAGTATGCGTGTTTACAAAGACTGCTAATGAAGAAAACTTGCTAGCTATACTTGTGGATTTATCAATTCATATGTTTTGCAGTCTATGTACAGCGAAAGCAATCCTCAAAAATATTATTTTGCATTGTCTATATAACACACCTATGGTTATCTGATAGTTAATGCTACCGTATCAGAAATTCCGAGAAATTTTGTGGAAAATATTTAACAGTGTACACGGGTAAATAAAACACATTGAAGTCTAGGTTGTTAGGTGAAAATAAATAACCTGTTCATTTTGTATGTATTATATTGTATTTTGAAATTATCTTGTTAATGGTCATCTGAAAAATTAAAGTTATGAAATGATCAATTGAACAGCATTATTGAGATTCGATTACGTGTAAATTAAATAAGCTTAAACACATTTTATGGCTGTTGTAACGATAGATTCAAGCATAAATTTATTACGGCGTGTTATAAACTTCAACGCTGACATGACGTGACGTCTTCTTTTGGTATTATGCAGTGATTTAAACATATACGTATCTTGGTTGGTGTAATATAAAAACAAAAGAATCGTTGTATTGTAACGCTAATCTATATATTAATACGTGAAGCAAAAACTTTGTATCCCTTTTTACGAAAATTGCGCGGACGGAGGAGTATGAAATTTTCCACACTTATAGAGAATATAGAGAAGAAGTGCACAATGCTAATATTTTTTTTAAATAATGCATAAAATATACATTAAATCAATAAAGAAAACATTACACACACTACATACCATGTATTTGATGCACACACGCATGTCTACTATTTATTGTCAAACTTTTGTTCTTGACGTCTGTTGTCAAATTGAGAATAAATTAAATATTGTTTGTCTTGGTTAATATTTATTATAGTGTAGTCTTGGCGAAATTTATGATTATAGAAGATTATAAAATACAATCATAATAGTGTACAATACAATACAACTTACAACTCCAATTAATTATAGTCGAATTTCGACTCCTGCGGGACCTCTAGTTCTTTAAAACAGTCATGCACGAACACAATTTTCAAATCTTTGAATAACGTCATAAATCATAAATGAAAAACTTTACACGGACATTAAAATATATATAAAATCTTTTTATGATGATTAACAATGCAACTGTGGTATTTATGGGCACCGTCAACCGTCGTTCGAACGTCAATCGATTGATTGACTGATTTAATTTACTAGGGGTGTGTATTGCGTCCGCCATCTTGCATATTTCTTCCGCTAATCATTCGTGCGTTACAGTCAATTTATGTGTATTATCTATGTTACAGTCCATTAGTACTGGTTATCCCTCGACACTACATGAACTCTGAGATCTTCTGCATGTTTAAGCTAAGAAAATAGGAAGCAAAACTGAGACTTAGAACCTGCTGTCCATCGATCAGAATTCCGTATCGGGAATTTCAATTTCTACAGAATTAACGCATTAGTTACACAATAATGAAGATAGAGTGCATATTCGATGATATTCTAAGAGGGCACGTTTAGTTAAAAATAAGGTTACTTATGCCCGTAATCAACACGACCTATTATCACTATGTGAATAATTTCCCTCCTGGCTAAGGTCTCAAGTTCACCCAACGTCTCGGTAAAGAGGCAACGCCTACGATATATTCGCTATCCTTCTTTCATTTAATTAAAATATATACATATTTGAATATATTACATGTGTAAAATTATTTTTAAATGCAGTATAACTCATCCGACCGAAAATTATTAGAATAAATTAGTAATCGGATAACGAGTGGAAAAAGCACTACTAATTGCTAAAACGATTAGTTGAATATTTATTACAATTATCTGTGTTAATTCATAGGAAAGGTTACTGTTATCCGTTCTCCCGCAACACGTCGCTATGGAGATGAAGAACGATATCATATCGCCGGTCGAGGGACAGTTCCACAAGATATACATACAGAAACACGAACAAGTCAGGTGAGTCTATAATATTCTTATTTCAACAAATAAATCTATGTTGCATTATGTGCATGTTATTTGTTATGTACATTTCCGGAGGCCAAATTACACATGCGTTTTATTCAAAGCTCTTGAAAAAATTTTGAAGTCGTCGTGGCCTAAAGGATAAGACGTCCGGTGCATTCGTATGTAGCGATGCACCGGTGTTCGAATCCCGCAGGCGGGTACCAATTTTACATAACAAATGTTCACGATTGACTTCCACGGTGAAGGAATAACATCGTGTAATAAAAATCAAACCCGTGAAATTATAATTTGTGTAATCACTGGTGGTAGGACCTCTTGTGAGTCTGCACGGGTAGGTACCCCCGCCTTGCCTATTTCTGCCATGAAGCAGTAATGCGTTTCGGTTTGAAGGGTGAGGTAGGCGCTGTAACTATACTGAGACCTTAGAACTTATATCTCAAGGCGGGTGGCGTATTTACATTGTAGATGTCTATGGGCTCCAGTAACCATTTAACACAAGGTGGACTGTGAGCTCGTCCACCCATCTTAGCAATTAAAAAAAATAAAATAAAAAAATTGATGATGATAGCAGGCGTACGGTATTACATAGTCACAGATTTATACTCATCTTAATTATACTTTGTCATAGTACGTTGAGGCTTTCGCCTAATAATGCACGTTATTGTAAAATATACTCTTCTAGAACTTACTGTGGTTGACCGAACTATGTGACATGTTCACAACCAAATTTTCAACTCAATTAGTTAAACCAGCGCTCCCCAAACTTTTTTGTTTCGTATGCCACATTCAATATTTTTCGATTTACATAGATGTCTTGTTTCTCGTTTATTTTTATTGTACCGCTTGTACGTAGCCGTCGATACATTCCACTTTGAAAGTCAATAGGATAAATGGTAGACGGCCTTTGAGAAGTCGAATATACTAACATTTTTATCATTCCATATATCAACTCCAAATGCATATATGTATTTATGTAAGTATGTTTTTTTTATTGCTTAGATGGGTGGACGAGCTTACAGCCCACCTGGTGTTAAGTGGTTACTGGAGCCCATAGACATCTACAATGTAAATACGCCACCCACCTTGAGATATAAGTTCTAAGGTCTCAGTATAGTTACAGCGCCTACCTCACCCTTCAAACCGAAACGCATTACTGCTTCATGGCAGAAATAGGCAAGGCGGTGGTACCTACCCGTGCAAACTCACAAGAGGTCCTACCACCAGTAATAATGTAATGGGATTGTAATGGGATCATTCTGAAACTTGACAATTGTGTGATACTGAAGGTAGTATGAGGCAAATGGAGCTCGAATTCGAGCGTGAGGTCGAGTTATCGAGGGCACACCCTACTCTTCTCTAAACCTGGTTGGAGGCACCAAGTAATACCCATTTGTGGAAGTGTGTCCGTAGGTTCGCTACTTCTTCTTAATTCTTCGTCGCTTTCTTCATTACTGAAGGTCGTGTCACTGAAACTTGACCGTAGCCTGTCTCGTGGGCTGTTTCCACCTCGTCCGGTCCTCAGCTTCTCGAATGGCGGTTGCGACTGGCAGCCCAATTAGGCTGGTTATTTGATCACACCAGCGGCTAGGTGATCGGCCGAGGGGTCTCTTTCCTTCTACTTTGCCTGTCACAATCACTTTGTCCAAGTTATCTTACTTCGTTCGTTCGTTACTAAGCACTGATAAAACTAGACTACACCAAGACCATATATACTTTTAATTTATATACTTTTACTATATACTATATACCTTTTTCCTTATATTGCTGGCACGTTTTCTTCCAATTTATGAATTCGTTTAAAGTCGAGCCGCTCTCGGAATATATCCGTGGTTTATTTTATCAAGAAAGCTAAGGACGACGCGATATATAAGCAAAGATTTAGCTTCATTTTATTTTTAGTAAATGTGAGCAGATGAGATAAGAACGTTGACCTTTTCGCACGCCACGACACCTGCTAATATACATAATAATATGTTATGTTTCATTAAATTTTGTACAAAAAAAGCTTTTTTCCAAGATGTCTTGAAGTTAAAATTTTAATGTCATCGTGCGGCCCAGCGTATCTCACTTGCAAGAAGTCGCAGTCTTGGGACTGGGGACTTTCTATTAATTCTAATTTTCACAGAAAGAGGCTAAGCTTTTCCGTCTGTTTAGGAATTAGAAATTTAGGCAGGTTTAAAATTAGGCGTTAAATTCCTATTGGTTGTGCGAATGATATAACATTACCTACAACATACATAAGATTATTTATTATATATGATACTAATGAAAGTTGCTTGACGTTTTACCTATATCTAATTTCGATAAAATTCATCTATCCTATAACATTTTGTTAAAAGTCGTAACATGACTGACGTATATGTTATTATGTACGTAATTTAAAATGTGTTGCCACGGTTGGCATTCTGTCAGCAATCTATATGTATACCAAATATAATATACATTTATGCAATGGCCGACGGCTGTGTTTAAAGCAAGCATCTAATTTAAAAGATTGAAAAAAAAAGTAGCTCACTTAAATCGTCTTAGTGATATCAGTTTTATTTATGTTACTAGTGTTAGCGCGTATTTACTAGGTAGTATTACCTAGGTAGTAGTAGGGGTCTTCGGAGGGACTTCGGCTCCTTCTGTATTTTGTACCGCATGTTCCATGGGGAGTGCTCTGAGGAATTGTTCGAGATGATACCAACGTCTCGTTTTTACCATCGCACCGCCCGCCACCGGAGTAGAGTTCATCCATACTACCTGGAGCCACTGCGGTCATCCACAGTGCGTTTCCAGAGATCTTTTTTGCCACGTACCATCCGGCTATGGAATGAGCTCCCCTCCACGGTGTTTCCCGAGCGCTATGACATGACCTTCTTCAAACGAGGCTTGTGGAGAGTATTAAGCGGTAGGCAGCGGCTTGGCTCTGCCCTTGGCATTGCTGAAGTCCATGGGCGACGGTAACCACTCACCATCAGGTGAGCCGTATGCTCGTCTGCCTACAAAGGCAATAACAAAATAAAAAAAAAGATACTGTTCCAGCTTGAAGGGTGGAACATCAGTTTATACGAAATAATTGAGATTTGGACTTCGTGTTCGGGTGACGGCATTCAAATTGTGCTCAATATGAGCTCCGGTAACAATAATTCAAAATCAGGCGGTTAGTGAGCGCATTCAAGTATCAAACTAATAAATTAGGTGACAGCATTGTTATACGATTAAAAAGTTCATTTTCGGCCACACTCATTTACCCCGTCGGTGACATTGTAGAAAACTATTTTCCCCATAACTATTTTTTTTTCCAAATTCCAGATCCCCATGTGACTGTGCATAAAATATAATACCCAAGTAAGCAAGTTCAAGAACGAGGTCATGGCTTCCAGACTACATATTACATTTTAGCCGTCTCAAATCGTATTTTATCCAAACGATCTGCCGGCTTAAGGCCAACTTTCACAAGCCGTCTCAGTGGAAGGATTACACAATTCATTTTATTGAACTATGACTGGTCCACAGGACTTTTAATAAGATGAAATGAATTCATGTAGAACAAACGAGGAACCTTCTTATTTACTGTTTGATATAAGCGAGAAAACTAACATAAACTAATGCAAAATCTAATTAGAAATAGTGATATGTAAACAATTACATAAATCTTGTCTAATGAAAGCAAACAAATTCGCAGTAAGTGAATTCAGTGCTTTTATAATCTTTTTGTTCATCTCGCTCTTATCTGAATATTTAACAAACGTATCCTCTTGTCGCCCATCTTCTTAAGGTCAACTGTTTTTTGTTCTTATAATACATGACTGCATGGCGGCAGAAATAAGTAAATGTTAGTACATACACTTGCGACCTTGCAATAAGCCCTATCACCACTAATATTATGCGGTTTTGTGAACTGCTTTGCTTGCGATTGATGTGGCCAGGATCGGAAAATTCTGGTAGGCCATTAGTAGATCAGTTAAGATCATCATAGTACAGATGGACGGTGTGTTGCAGGTTACTTTAATGTTTTTTAAGTAATTTAATAGTTAACTAGTAACTTTTCTTACTTACTTGATTCATAAAAATGGCGTTTTAAGCAAATGTTTTAAATTGAGTTTTTGATACATTGAGTAGGTATTTAAATGTAATAATTTATAACCAGAAAAATATAAGACATACTCTCGAGAGTACCAATTAAATGAACAGAGCGATCATTTTCTTGAATTGACGCCACAGTATTTTCGTCGTGCCATTTAAACTAATACTAAGAATAAAAATTCCATTACGACTTACTTCGGTGTAACGACGCGCGATGATCTGACGAAACAACTTCGCAGACAGTCCCTTTATCTATATAGATTACTGAATAAACATGTATTTAATATTGCCAATTTTGCGACCGCTCGTTTTCTAGAAGCGGCGTTGCTTGGCTTATCTCCAAATAGTGCCGAAGTCCAATTTTCCTCACAATGCCTCCTTTTAAAGCTCACTATACTGAAGCCGGCATCTTCATTAAAATGCGTTTTATAGTCCAACGTTAATTACTTACGAAAGAAACGTCGAGTGCCGAGTGAAATGTTTTGTTTTTCTTCTATTGTTTAAATATGGAGCAAACTTGTGTGAGTAAACAATAATATTATGACTACTTTATTAAAACTAGCTGACCCGGCAGACTTCGTAGTGCCTCAATCGATAAATAAAATACCTAAACTTTTGTATAAAATAAACTTAAAACAAACAACAATTTTCATCTTTATTTACCTTTTAAACCTTCTCTGGACTTCCGCAAATCATTCAAGACCAAAATTAGCCAAACCGGTCCAGCCGTTCTCGAGTTTTAGCGAGACTAACGAACAGCAATTCATTTTTATATATTTAAGAAGATTATGAATTTTTATTTAATGGAAAATAAAAATAGACTCCGTAAAAGCCGTTTACGTGTTGGTGAATCATTCAAAGTTAAATGATATATATACCGTTTAAAATGAAAAAAACATTTTGTTAAATTTTACACGAAG